TGGTGGATGGTTGGCTCTTCTGTATCTGCATTCCAAGGATTGAGTCTTAGGATCATCTTGTCTTTGTAGGCTCCTGAGGCTTAGAGAAAGGGATTCAGCCTGTTTTTAAAAATAAATTTTAGTGCCAGATGGTGGTGGTGCACACCTTTAATCCCAGCACTTGTGAATCAGAGGCAGACAGATCTCTGTGGGTTCTAGGGCAACCTGATCTACAAAGCAAGTTCTGGGACAGCCAGGGCTGCGTAGACCAACACTGTCTTGAAAAACCAAAACCAAACCTCCCCTGCTAAAAAAACTAGCGTGTACATTTAAGGTATCCATCATGAAAGTATAGGATTTATGTGAAAAGGTGACTATAGTGAAGAATGGACATGCCCACCACCCAATCATCATCTGCTTTCTATGGCAAGAACAGCTAAAAAAAGAAAAAAAATCTTATTAGTCTGATCTATAAAGTAATTTCATTGATATGGTCTTTGTGTGGTATGTTAGGTATGGTATTGTTTGTCCTTTGTATTTGCTACTTTGAACTGTTGGCATCATTCTTCCTGTCTTCTACTTCCATTCCCCTGGTAACATTTTGTTTTAAAGACAGGGTTTTACTCTTAACTCAGGCTGGCCTAGAACTCATTATAGCTGGTGAGCCTCTCTTTAGTGCTTCCTTGGGGTTAAGGCCAATGATCCTGCCATAAGGAGACAATAGGCCTGGAGCTGAGACCTCTTTGCTCCTCTCAGTCCTTCCTGTCCCTTTGCAGCCCAGTGCCCCAGGTGAAGGCTTGAGGACACTTGATCCCTCTGGGGTGTCCCGGGCAGGAAGCAGGGCCTCCAGGTTCAGGTCTTTTGAAAGGCAAGAGGACCAGAGGTCCCAAGGGTGTCCATTGTTGCCAGCAACAGGCATATTCTCTGGAGCCAAGCTCCAAGGAGTTAATTGATGTGTTTTCTACTTTCTGGAAAGTGGTAATTAACCCTGCTCAGGCATAAGTATGTTGAATGCAGGGTCTCCTACAATCTTAGCACATAATTCTCTCTCCCTTCTCTACCTTTCAGCAGACAGCTCGGACAACTCTGATTTGGAAGATGACATCATCATATCTCTGAATGAGTGATGTGCCATCCCCACTTGGAAGAGAATCTTGGCAGGCGAGAGAAACTGAGTGAATGAATTCAGAACACCTGCCTTTGCTGTCTCCCAGGGCTGTCCGTTAAGGAACTGTATGCCCTGCATTCAGAGGACTGGTTTAGATTCTCCCTGACTCTTGAGGGCCCTTCTAAAAAACAATAACAACCACAAAAAAAGACTACAGGGACTAGGCCCTAGTTTGCGTCCCCTCCTCCTAGGACGGACATAGCTTTCCTCAAGGGAAAAACAAACATGTCTCTGGGTATTTCACAATATATTTTCTTTGTATAATGTTCTTTACTTAAAGAACAAGAAATAGTTTTTTATAAAACTTTAAAAAGAAAAAAAAAAAGCAACAGGCATTTATAACCGAGGGTCTGAACTTATATCCACCAGTCTCCTATCCTGCACTTCATTTTCTTTGGAAGAAAATGATGTCTAAAGAACAATATAGAGGCATTTTTACATACGTATTTAAATGAAGAGGAAAATCGTGGTTTCTTAAATTGATAAGGATTAAGAATATTTTATTATAAATATAATATATGATTTTTTAACCTGTTTTGTTGCCTCATACGCTGTCAAGTTAATTTGTTTTCCTTTGTGCCAGAGCGGGAGTGGAAGGCTTGGCCTGCTACTGGGAAAATGCCTAACTCCTACCTTGGTGGCCAGGCAGTTGTGTAGACCTTGTTTTTGTGGAGTTGAGAGAACTTTAGGGGTATAAATTCACTCCCTCTCTTTCTCTTTGTGATTCAGTTTTTCGAAAGTCTTTTTTTTCCTTCCCTTTCTCCCCAATGTGGAAATTACAAATCAAAGGTCTTTTTCTTTAATGTAAAGTGTATTTATTTAAAAAAAATACAAAATAAACTACAAGTCTGTCTTTGTTTATGGCCTTTCCTTGTTTTTTCTTTTACTGAGATGGGGTGTCCTTCACCTCCTCACAGTTTTGGCCAGACCAGGGGACCTAAGGAAGGCAGAGCCCTCCCACAGCAAGTCTCCCAGGGCAGACAGTAGTTTAGTCACTTGAGCCTGGCCTGAAGTTGCTGGAGGCCTTGTGAGGATAACAAGGGGGGGGGGGGGGGGGGGGGACCAGAGGGGGTAAGGGAGTGGGGCTGCATCTCTATCACCATGTGTGGGACCTTTAAGGAGCAGTCTGGCCACCCCCTAGGTCTTTTTCAGTCCTAGAAGTTGAGGGGTACTTGAGGCTTGGTCACGTTGGGTATAGAGGAAAAACTTCACGGGTCTGAAAGTATGAGGGGCTCATGTTTTGTTTATCCCACCATTTCTTTCCCACAATAAATATAAAACAGTAATTTCTCTCTCTGATTTTGCCGAAATGGTAGCTTCGGTTTCTGTTACATAGGCATTAATTACACAGCCACAGAGACACCTCTCCCTTTACTGAGAGAAGGGTGTATTGGGTATAAAGTAAACAAGCAACACAAGATGGCGAAAACTCTCCAGGGGTAGGTAGAACCTGCTACACTCAGGAACACAACCTGTCACACTGAAATGGCCTGTACCACAGAGGCACATCCATCCTGTTCCTGTAAAAGCCGAGGCCTCAGCTCCTCGTCTGCTTCATGCCTTGGCATTAACTGGTTAACTGACAACAGCCAGTACAAGTCTGGTGGCTGGCACTGAATGCATGCAGCTGAAGAGAAAGCAGCAAAACTCTGCATCATCACTAATTCAGCTCATCTGCCAGAAGCTCTTGGGAGCACCCACAGGCCTCCCAAGGTGGAGACGGGCACATTTAATAGGAAAGCACAATTCTGGTTGACTTGACAACACTCCCTTAGGAATGTGTTTCATGAGACTAGAAGAAAACATTTACCTTCCTTGTTCTACTAGGGTTCAAAACCTGAGTCACTTAGGAAGACACAGGGTATAAAAACACTACCCATTAAGGGGTTTAGTCTGCTCTGGTTTTTTTGCCTTCATGAAACGTCAGCCGCTGGGTACCTGCTGTTGGCTTTCTCACTGGAGACAATGTCATGACTAGACAAGGCCTTGGTTACCTGACCCACACCTTCTTTAGTGCTGGCAGGGCTGGCTAGGAGGCCACAGAACCTGTTATGTCTTAAGGACTAAAAGGAAGTGGTTAGGATGGTTAAGTGGTCCAAGGTGGAAGGTCAGTGGGTTGTGGGTCTTACCAAGAAAATAGTGGTTATCACTGGAGCCAAAGGGTGACCCTTTCCAAACGGGTTGATTAAAGCTGGGGCCGGGGTGTCTTGGTTCTGCCTGGGAAGGGTGCACTTGGGTGATGAAACTTGCTTTGTAGCTGTTCTATGACATTGTTCAAGATCTCCAAGAAAAACTGCAACAGGCCTTCAGGATGAGGCTTGCTCTGGTTTCTGGTGGTATGACAAAGAATTCTGAAGTAGTTTGGGACACCAGGCCTACTGACTTGCTCCAGTGAAGGCAGTGACCACAGCTCAAGGATACATTAACACTCTCATTAATGCTTCAGAGCAGTGGTCCTCAACCTTCCTATGCTGCGTGCCCTTAGCACAGTTCCTCCTCTTGTGCTGGTGACCCCAACCATAAAATTATTTTCATTGCTACTTCATAACTGTAATTCTACTGTTATGAATTGTAACGTAAATATTTTCTGGTGACACAAGTTTGTCAAAGGGGTTGCCACCCTCTGTTTTAGAGACATGTTTGGTCTCATGAATAGCAGCCAAGGCCTGGTGAGAAGAAAGTCCCTATTTTACCCAATTTCCAGGTTTCTGTCCTTGTAGACGTACATGAACTTCATATAACCTCCAAGGTCTATCTCAGAGCCCAGAGGTTACAGGTGGGCCAGAACCAACCCCTAACCAGGACTCCCATTCTCCTAGGCCTGACTGGTTTGGACTATCCAAGCTGGCATATCCTCAGCCTAGCTGTGATCTGTGGCGACACTGTTGCCTGATATAACGTCCTACTTGAGACAGCAAAGGCAGAGCCTAAAACTACTCTTGGGCCACTTTCCCCTCCCAGCCTGAGGATGCCTCAATCTGTTTCCTTCTTAGCCCAGCTGATGTGGCTCTGGGCTCTGGCCTATCATTTAGCACCTGTGACTTCTTTCCCACAGAGAATGATCTGTTTCCTTACCTCATTTCTGTGGCTCATCACGGAAAGCTATGTCACTCATCAAGGACATCTTCCTGGCACTGTACTCCCTTGCAGCACTGAGTACTGTAGCTGGGAAGTTTGCTGCTGGCCATAAACCTCTAGGTTTGACTGTGGCACAGGCTCACTCTACTGACAACCCTGAAAGACCAAAGAAAGCCCCAAATCACAAGCACATTGAAGGGTTGACCAAGCTAGGCTGCTTCTCACCCTGCATCCCACCATTTCCCTCCAGGACCCCTGGGAACCAGGCCCTAAACTACATAAAGACTAAAGATTGATCCAGAGCGAGGCTGGACAGGTTAAGCACAAGGCTCCTCAGCATCAATATTGCACTGTTCCCCCCCCCCCCCCAATGCAAGACCACAAAACTGAAAACTACCCTCTCTGTCCAACAAGCTTTAGAATTAGGTACCTTGTCTAACGGCCATAGCTCAAACTGAAGTACTTAAGACAGGAAAAAAAAAATAATAAAAACTACCTATAGCGGTTGGTACAGATCTTTGGCCCAGGCCCTTCCTCTAACGGGCTCTGCTCAGGGTGGTGTAATGGCCCACGTCACACAAGCCTGTTGGCCATTAGGGACCGACGAGTGTGAGCAGGGTCCTGACAGACAAAGAGCTGGGTACCACGAACATAGCACACTGTTAGAAGCAGTGGTACCAAAAACTGGACATAGGTCATGCACTGAGGGCAGTTTTCCATTTTTTAAGAAAAAACCTGATTAAACCAGGACTATGGTCAGATTAAAAAAAATTCATCCTCTGACAAAGGCTTTACTGACAACTTTCCATACAGTTAGTCAAAAAAATAAAAATAAAAAAGAATAAAAAAATACAGAATACAGCAGATAGTATCTCATACATGGGAAACACAACAGGAGTTTTTTTCTTGTAAAAAACAAAAACAAAAAGCCCCAGACCCATGAGCTTAGTTTCAGCAGTGGACAGGATGCCACCGAATGAACCAGAACAACCCAGCAGAGAATTCAAACCAAGGGGGTAAGGTAGGTAGAGAAGGGAGCAGATTTTAACATGACTGCTGCTCTGTGACACAAACACAGCGGAAGAGCAGGTGCGGGCTAGGCAGCGTCTCTGACTATAACTATCACCATATGCTCTTCCTCTAGCTTGCCCAGGGTCCGCAGTGCCGACTGCAGGTACTGCTGTGAGAAGTCGCAGGGTGGGAAAGCGTAGAGCATGCCCGTGCTGTCTCTGCCCTTAGACCCACCCACTGGCAGGCTGATCACCCCTGCAGCCTGCTTCTGTTTCAAGTAGGAGACCAGGTTCCTGAGAAGCCGCCTCTGTAGGCCTGGTTCCACGGCGGGCACCCCTTCAGTGCCAGGCCCACTGGGGGCTGACTGGATGGCTAGGAGCACTGCGTAGCCGTTGGGGCTCCCCTGCTTGATGCGACGGGTGACCTCGTCCAGCTTGGGCTGGTCCAGTCGAAGGCGCTGGGCAATCTTTAGCTGGGTCAGCTTGCTGCCAGAAGTGTGGTCTTTGAGGAGACCGCTGATAACTCCCTGGTCCCCCTCTAGGATGTGCATAGATGTTGGAAAACAGCTGTTTTTCAAAACTAGAAGCCCATTCCAACCCAGCTGCAGTGTCTGAGCGTACTCGGAAAGAGTCTTTAGCTTTTTGGTCTCGTGTTTTGGCTCTTCAAGAGTCTTGGGCTCTGCCTCAGTGGTCCGATGATTGCGTTCACTCTCTCGAGTCTTTTTTCCATGGGAGGAGTCTGGAGCCTCGTGGTGGTGGTGATGGTGGCCCCTCTCCTCCGCACCATGTCTGCTGTTGCTGAGGGAGTTGCTGCCTGACTCCTTGGTCCCTTCACTGGAGTGGTTTTCCTTTCGGCTGCGCTCAGGGGTGCGGTCCAAGCCTCGCTCAGACTGCTGCCCCCCACCCTTGGTCCTGCTCCGTTCCTCGTAAGGGGAATGAGTTGCCCTCCCACGGTCACTGGAAAGGCTCCTCCGCTTGCGTCTCTCTTCCCAGGGCTTGGCTATACTCCGGTCCCCATCTCCTCCCCAGCGCTCACCACTCCGGCTGCGCACTGAGCGGCTATAGCCCTCCAGGCTGTTTCTGCGGTCCGAACTTTTACTGAGGCTGGTCCAGTCCCCTTCCAAAAAGGTCCGGTCCCGGTCTGAATAGAGGAGGTGTGGAGGGGTCCTATCCCGCACCCTTAGGTCGGCATCCAGGTTTCGATGCCGGGTATATCCATCAGTGAGCAGCTCATAATGCACAGGGAGAGGGGAGGGCTGGTACTGCTGGGGATAGCGAGTCTCCTCTGCTTTGGCAAAATCCACCCTGAGCCTGCGATCCGGACCACCCAAGGGAAAGCCCCTCATTTTAGCGCAGGCGGCTTGGGCTGCGTCCAGGCTCTCGTACTGGATGTAGGCAAAGCTGTCTCCTTTGACGTGATCGATGGTCCGAATGCTCCCAAAGCGATCAAATTCCCTGGCCAGGGCTGCCAGCGAGGTGTTAGGTCCCAGACCACCCACCCAGAGGCGGGTGGTGGGGTTAGCCTTGCCGTAGCCTATCTTGATGGGGTTTCTGCCAATCACCCGGCCGGACATAGCCACCTTGGCCCTGTGTGCCATGTCCAGGTTCTGAAACTTGAGGAAGGCATAGGCACCACCCTGGCCACGCGCAGGCCTCTTGATGACCACCTCCTCAATGATGCCGTACTTCTCGAAGGCCCGTCGGAGCTCCACCTCAGATACACTGTGGTCCAGGTTCCCGATGAAGAGGTTGCGCGTGGCTCTCTGGTCATCCTCCGGCATCAGGTCCTCCTCGCACACGGCCGGGTAGGCGTAGGGGCGCCCGCGGTCGTCGTACAGCCCGTAGTAGTCCAAGGCCCGCTCCCGAGACAGTCCCACGGCGGCCGCGGCCGCAGCATCCAGGGCGAAGGCTGCCGCGGCGTGCCGAGCGCGGGGCTCCCGCAGGGGCGGGGCGGCTACCGGCGACAGCGAGCGCTGCTTGTACTGGTAGCCCCCGTGCAGCGGCAGGTAGCCCAGGGGGTCGGCGGGCGTGGGGGGCCCCGGGGGCGGCGTGGAGGCGGCGGCGCTGCTGCTGCTACTGCGCCGGCTGCTCCCGCCGCCGCCGCCGCGCAGGTAGACCGGCTCTACCTTGAGCGGCCGGTCGTAGAGCAGCAGCTGCCGGGCCAGGGCGTGCTGCCGGGCCTCGCGCGCGTCCTGTGGGTGCCGGAAGTTCACGTAGGCCACGCGGCCCAGCTCCGGAGTGTGCGACAGGCGCAGGCTGATCTCACCGAAACGCTTGAACTGGTGGAAGAGCCGGTCCTCCAGGTGCTCGGCCGGCAGCGCGGGGCTCAGGCTGCTGATGAGGAGCGTCTTGTATTCCGGAGCCGCCGTGGAGCCGGGACCCGCTGGTTCCGCCCCGGGGGGCGGCGGGGGCGGTGGCAGCGGAGAGGCGCGGGGCGACGAGCCGCCGGCACCGGGGTCCCCCGAGGCCTTGCCGGTGCGTCCTCCGCCTCCGGGCGCGCCCGAGGAGCGCCCGCTGCTCGCTCGGTGATTCGCATCCCCGGCAGCGCGACCGTCGCGATGCCCGCCGCCGCCACTGCCGCGGGGCTTGTCACGAGCCCGCGCTGGAACCGGGTGCTTGGTGCCGCCGGAGGCCTTGTGCGCTGCTCGCCGCCCGCCCGCCTCTGCCTCCCGTTCGCGCTCCCGCGGCCGCTTGGCGGACGATGACGAGCCACGCCCGCTCGGGCTGGAGTCTCGCTCGTTCTGCCGCTTCATGGCGCCGGCGCGGCGGGCGGGCGGCCCGCAGGTCCCTCACAGCGGCAGCGGCGGCAGCCCAGGAGGCAGCGCCCCCGGCGCCGCCATCTTGGACAAAAGGACTCGGCGCGGCGGCGGCGGCGGGGCGGGGCGGGAGCGGCGCCGAGGGGCCGGGAGCTGCGTTATCAAGCTGCGCCGGCCGCACCACGTGACTCGGGTGGGCGGGACGAGAGTTTCGCTTCGCGCCTATCACCCGGCTCCGCGGTCCTGCACCACGTGACACCTCGGCAAGCGGAGGATCGGGCCCGACTGCGAGCTCTGGCGCCACCGCGTGGCTGGCTGGGCTTAGGCACCGGCTACTGCGTTGTGCGCGGCGTTCCTCAGGAGCAGGCAGGCCCCAGGGGGACTTGGGCTTTGTGCTCCAGGGCTACCCACGCCGGTGGGTCTGCCAGCTCAGGGCCGTGCCCACTAGAACAGGAATGGCCACTCGACCGGCGGCCTCGGTCCGTGAAGTATCCCCCTCAAACCTGCCACTAGCTTGAGATCCCAGTCCCCTCCAAGGCGTTTTCTGACTGGGACCAGAGGTGATATCCTTCAAGGATCCTACACCCTGTCCAGGACCCACATCCCAGGATCTTCTGCATTCAGATTCTTCAGGCACTGTCCTGGCAAGACCCTGAAAACAAAGACTACAGATGCTGGTGAGACCTCCCTGGGTCCAGTGCTGCATTTGCATCCTAGACAGGAATCTTGGTGCCCCTGGGTCCAACTTTCTGCTGTAGGTTTCTGGGCAGACAGGAGGCTGGGAAGGTAGGTCTGTAGAGCAGGTAATGCCAGAAGTTATCATCTCTCGCCATGCTGACATCTTGCTGGTTAATGTTCTGTCTACATCCAGGTGAAATACAGGCAAGAGTACCCAAAAGCCTTTAGGACTTTATGCTCTCCACGGATGGCTGCTGTTTCCAGGTTAGTTCCTGTAGGATGACAAAGGGTGCACCCAGCTCTCCCCTCCTCCCACAGGCACAAAGCAATGGGCAGGAGACAGGTGCAGTGGGCTCCATGGCAGAATCTAAGGCCCCGTGGATGCAAACTGAACTTAGGAACCACACAAGTGAGCTAAGACCGACTCTTTGGAAAACACAACTTCTTAGCTGACACTTCTTTCACATGATGTTTGGGGGCAGCAGGTGCGGTGTCCCCAGTGAGACACAGTCACACTGTAAAGTACCAGTCACAGAGCAACTGAAAACCATACTGCACATAGCTCTCTGGCCTCTGAACCAATTCCTGCCAAACCTGCAAAACTACAAGTGAGCAAGGGGCCTTGTTCACACTAGACCCAGACCTTGTTCACACTAGACCAGACCAGAACCCAACGAATGGACAACCAGGTACCAGGTGGGGTGAAGAAATGGAAACGCCAACTCTGACTACCCGCACTAGCGCAGAAAATTCTCTGCTTGTTCTGCATATGCTGACCTAAGACCAGTAATATCACCTTCAGCTCAGGTGTCAAGCCTAAGTCTTCACCAGGCCAAGTACACAACACTCTGAAGCCCAGAACTGCCCCCTCCCCCCAACTTTGGCTGCTCCAAGCTCCCAAATCCTTTTATGGGTGATTGTGGCACTGGCAGACCAAGGGTCCTTTGCAGACTGGAGAGACAAACCAGCAGATTACAGAACCAAATCCTGTTTCAGTTCAACTCTCCAAAGACAGATTTGTTTTTTCCCTTTAATAAAAAATTCCCAGACAAACTTTGAAGTCCTAGAGTAAACCAGCAAAAGAAAGAAGTAAACTCCTCCCCCTGGGAGGAGGGGGCACCATGGAGCCAGCATCATCATTAGGAAAGCTCCAGGCTTCACCTCTCATTGTCAGAAGCCCGCTTAAAAAATAAATTACAAAATGTTGTTTGGGGAAGAGACAGGTGAACTGTTTTTCCCTCTGGTGACTATAAATCAGTCCGTGCGCTGGCTGCCTTGGGGGCGTATTTAGGCATCAGTTCGTTTATCTTCCGGATATAGTCAGACTTTTCTGCGCAGCCTTTGCACATCTCCCCCCAGTCGTCCAGGATCTTCTTCAGCTCTTTCACCCGGAGCTTCTTCAGGTCCACTGTGCTCAGGTCGATCTGCTTGTCTGCAGGGAGAGCAGGACAGTAAATGGCGGGGGAGGATGCTGCAGCCCCGTGCTGCGTGCAAACCATTCCTTAGGACGGAGACGTGTGTACACCGTGCCAAGAGGGTCACCTCAGGCTGTCAGTATCCACTACAAGACATGCACTGCCGAGAACCCACATGCTTCCAGCTCCCCAAGGACCTTCTACATGTCAGCACAGAATGAGTTCCAGGCTGATGACAGAGCAGACACATCCTCTTTCTCCCCGTCAAGGTACCAGAGTCAAAGCTTACTCCATAACCCAGACAGACGTACACCAGAACCAACCAGGGTGCCAAATTACCACAAGCACAAACCACAAACACAAGGCCCTTGGACACGTGAGTTATAATTAACACTGGCATTGTTTAAACTTCACGGGAGAGGCCTGGCTCACAAGACTGGGGTTATGTGCAATGACATGGGCTCTGCCACGGTGATGCTGCGACTCCTATCACTCCTGGGCTGACGGTCTTAGGGCCATCAGAAGTACAGCCATGACAAGTCTGTTAAACTCAAGTCTCATTACAGCGCTTCTCTGCTCAAAAACTTCTGATGCTTCCAACTTCAGACTAAAAGCCAAATTCCTTACCAAACCCAAGGCCCTACCCAACTTGTCCACCTTATGTATTCTATCTTTATATTCTCTGTCTGCACTGTCCCGCTATTAGCTGGCCTCCTTCAAATCCTCCCTCTTTCAAAGTATGCTAACAAGTCACCTTCTCAACTCCTGACCACCACCCAGCTTTGATGTGGAAGTCTCTGAGCCCTGCACAGTGTATCACCCATCATGCTCCAAACCCTCACGATGACGTTTCTGGCTAGAAAGCAAGCCCAGGCGGGCACACAGACATCGCAGGAGGCGCACAGTCCTGGCCACACTCACCGTATTTCAGCTCGCAGATCTGGCTGTCTTTCTTCTTCAGCTTCTCACAGATCTTCTCCACAGGGATATGGTGGGCCAGAGGCTTCGACACCTCATTGATGATCTTGGTGGCTGCATCATCTGTGGCCCCAATGTAGTAGCACTGTAGCAGAAAGGAAAAAGGAAGAAAAGTCTTAATGTTTTATGTGCATGAAGTGCACATGTATGCAGGTGCTGGGGAGGCCAGAAGGCATCGGATTCCCCGGAGCTGGAGTTAGGATACTGTGGGTAATGGAGACTAAAGGCAGGTCCTCTGCAAAGCAGGACACTTGCAGAACCACCTCTCCAGCTCAGGTCATTTTGAAAACTCTTGGCCAGGCCGCATGTTTTTAGTGCTTGCCCAGATCTAGTAGTTGTACAGTCTAGGCCTTGATATTTGCTCAGTGCCAGAGTTTCCAAATGAACTGAAGAACCATCAGAGTTCCAATGAGAGACTGTCAGAGAAATTAAAGCTACAAAGGCCAATGTTTTACATTAGGGCTCTTGCCTTTGACTTGGCCCTGGCCACCTTGGGGCACCTAGTTAACTGTTCCTGATCCCAAACACACCAAACTCTCTCTGGCCTTTGGGCACTCACACTGTTTGGATACGCTCTCTCCGCTTCACAAATCCAACCCCTCTCTAACAGCCCTCCCAATCCCCAAACTATCCTAGTCTATTTTCTTCATGGATACACCGCTCACTGCTTTCCATTTGCCTGGCATTTTTCTTTCCGGGCTGTACAATACTCAGCTCATAGGAGGTATTTTATAAGTACAGGCTAAAAATACTTCAGTCTCGCACTAGTTTACAGACATGGCCCATCATCAACTGGACCATACACGCGAGCCAGGGAGAGCCTGGGTGGGTCACCAGAGACTTACCAACCGATTCTCTTTGCCTCTTGCTTCACGACAGAACTTTATAAGTTCTTCTTCAATAGTGGCTGGTGAAAATGTGACATCTCTGTCTTTGAGGTCCTGGTAAAATCTTCCCAGATAAGAAATGCAAACTGCAAAAGAGGAAAGAGAGATGCTAAGCAACTACTAGTCCCCATTCCACCAGGGGTAGAAAGAGATGATCATTATTTTCCAATCATTGGTTTTTCTCACGTACTCATAGGTGCACAGAACTCTTAGGTTGCTGGGGTCCTAGTACCCAGTGCATGCCGAGAGTGAACATTACCCCAGTGACCCCCACACAATCTTCCCTGCTCTTTTCAAGTTTAAGCCGAGAGTGGACACGTGTCCTTGAGAGGGAACTCACTGTGACCTCATAAGGGACACACCAAAAGCTGAAGCAAACAATCAAAATGTTCCTTATTCCAAATACAACACCGAACCCTTAAGTGCAGTTTGGCAATCCCAAGAGGCCGTTGCGGCCCACGGGGGTCCCTTCCCGAAACCTCTAAACAGTGATGTGAAAGGACAAAAACTCCTGTGTTGTGGGCTTCCGGCCAAGTTTTCAACGCGACTGAGCCGACGCTTTCCCCTAAACGAGTCGATGTTTCTAGGTCCGGGTAATAATTCCGAGGCCCTTCCTCCAGCGGACCGCGCCAGGATGGGCCCCCGCCCTCTCGGTTCCGTTGGGTTCAGCGCCATCTGCCCTCCCCCCCCCCCAGCCCGGCACCTTCTCCCCACGCACCTTCGCAGTCGCCTGGCCGCAGCGCCCGGCTGTCAGGCAGCACGCTCAGGGCCAACGCTACCGCCAGCCCGCGCGTAGCCCACATCTCCACTGCCTCCGCCACCACCGCCGCCGCCGCCGCCGCTGCTGCGCGAATGAACCGCACCCGGCGCGGTGCACCGCCTAGGGGGCTGGGACACAAACCGGAGCTTCCCATAGGCGGGTAGTCCCCGCGCCCACCCATATACTGCATTCTCATTGGTCCACGTGCCCCGGAGCCCAGGACGGCGGCTCCACGCTACCCTTCCTCATTGGCTGGCGGCGTCTGGGCCCTAGACAGTTGTCGGTTGCTGATTGAGCCTGGGCGGTCCATTGGAAGCGGCTGGGCGGAAGCTGCATGGGCCACCATATTGGGTAGGGGCAACGGCTTTGCCTCTTGCCGGGCAGCCTCTGAATCTGGTGACTCGTCCCGAGTACTTCTTGGCTCCACATCCAGTCCCCTCCTGGGCCTCGGACTCGTAGCGCAGGACTTCTGGCGTCAGCAGACACCCAACAGGACAAGCGGCGCGAGCAAGGATCAAAAGTGGTTCCTTGTTTTGAGCCACCACGTGGATTGGCGGACCAATGAGTGCGTCCACCTTCTTGTGCCGGCTGCCCACACCCCTCCTAATCCTGGGTCGGTACGCAGAACCTCTTAGACGAAAGTTTAAGCAGACAAAGTCAGCTGCTGTCCTGGACATTTGAGGGCCTTGTCTGCGGTAAAACGAGCCGAGATTTTGGGATAGCCTCCCAGTGGAGGCCATGGATCTCGGGAAGTTTTGTGTCCCACTCTTGGAGACGCGCAAATGGGAACTGGAGATGTTACCGCCTGGACTGCCCTGATGCTAAGTGCAAGGGCTTGGCCACTTGCCCTCGAAAGCCGAATATGAAGAGAGGACGGCAAGTACAGGAAAGTATCTGGAGCTAAAAGGGCTTGGAGCCCGGCGACAAGGGTTTGAGAGGGGCACTTAACGCTCCCATTCAGTGAAATCAGTGGATCAATATCAGGTATTCATCTTTAATTCACATCACAGCAGTCAAGGGAGGGGGGAATCAATTGGCAGGTATTTACATCTAAAATTCACATTACTCGTTGGATGTATAACATGCTACCACAATATATACAGTAAAATACCTCTTGGGACACCGGCACAATTTTTTTCTTTAACTTTTCTGGTACAGGTAAGATCATTTTTAAATCAGTTTTTCTTTAGACACGAGTACACAAAGGAAATGGTTAGAAGTTTTCTTGTTTTAAATAAGCACAGAATGCCAGAGGTTAAAAACACATTTATAGGGCTTATTACCAATTAGACATCACACTCTATACATTTTTTGCTCAAATTCCTGTACAAATACACAGCATTCAAATAGGTATTTACAAATATGCTTATAAGAATGAAAATCAGTATTTCACAATCTTTTCAAATGTTTCTGATCTCTGGCCTCCCATTTCCCTCACACTGGCTGGTTTTTCAATACAAAGTATTCAGAATAGGTCCATTTCATCCAGTTAGGGAAAATGGGAGAGGGACGACACAAATATATTTCATCTTGCATAAAGCAAGGCCAAGGAACTTAACCCTACATTCCCCTCCCTACCTCCTGTGCCACCAAGTGGAGAAGGCAGATGTCTGCACTGGATAGCAGGCTGCCTTCATGGACTGCTGCCTTCCCTAAGAGTCACAACAAAGCTAGACTTTGACCCTCATACCTATGAACCAGATGGTCCAGAAACAAGCTTACCAATGAATCTAGGTTCAGGAGCAGGTGTGTCTGCCCTTGGAGCCAAGGCTACCTGGATTGGCCTACATCCTTCATAGTTTCTGCTCTGCTCTGCTCTGCCTGAATGATCCTGAGGTATCAGAAAGCCCTATACTCTTGTACCTGGACCCCAACATACTCTGGAGTAAAATGGGCCTTCTATCTTTTCCCTTAGGTTATTTGCTGGCAATTCTATTGAACTTGTTTATAAGAGAAAAAGACCCTGACCATGGACTTTTCGGTTTGGGAAAGAACTGTGGGAAAGGGATGAGCAGCTAGGCCCAGAACCTGGCCACCGGAGGCCAGAAGGCCAACAAGATAAGGGAAGTGGGGCAACATACCTGCTCACCAAGGAGAAGGCAGTCTTATGGCCATCGCTGATGAGAATGTAAGCAAATGAAAGGAAAGCAACTGTCTTGAGATAAGTTATTTTTAAAAGTAACTTAGAAGCACCCTGGTGAAATATACTATACCCCCACCATAATACCAAGAGAAAAATCAGTGCCCTGACATGAAAGAATTTCCTATAAAGTCACCACTGTGCCCTTCCTAACAGACTGGGGAGGTCTGAAAAACTGCCCTTCTGCCCGTCCTGAACCCTGAGTGGCGGTCCTTATGGGTTTGGAGTGGAGGGTTCTATACTTGGCTACTTGGAAGATAACAGTTTTACCTGTGTGGCTCTCTGCTTCCAAAATTAGTTTCCTCCCATCAGTTAAAAAAATTATTTTAATGTTTTATACCCAGGAGCTTGCTGAACCTGACCACACATCCTCAGGGCCTGGAAGCCAGGCTGGGCAGCCAACCCCAAGGCTCAGAGGTAGTGCTGAAAATCCCTGATTCAGGTGCTAAATGGCAGGCATTGGAGCCACCTGTGAAAGCTTATGCGGCATTCTGGCTCCTGCCACACTGGATCTAGCCTCATTCTTACACCAGCTCTTTCTAACACAAGGGAAGGGGCTAACTCCCTGCAGGAGTGATAGCCCTCCTAGCTTCATTTAATTCAAGCCCCAGGGCTGAAGAGATAAGCCTTGCAAGTCCATTCGAGCCAGGGAGACTTCTGCAGATCATGAGGTGTTTTGAGTGGAAAGTCCAAAATAAAAGTGATGTATAGTGTCCAAAGTGGGGTAAGAGACAAGGCTGGCCCATGGAATAATGTCCAAAGTTGGATAAGAGACAAGGCTGGCCCATGGAAGCCTGGCAGTGTGCCCTGGGCATGCAGTTAGGCCAGTCATGTGCCTGACCAGCCCCTCAGTTGCACACTCCTAGATGGAAGAGTGGGCAGGTGGGCAAGCATTTGTGCAAAACGGCTTGTGGCCCCTTTGTCCACCTGTGACATGTCGTCCATGTGGTCCTTGCAATCCCTGAATGCAACCATGAATTTTCCTGTCCATACAGCAAAGGAAGAGGTCCCTAGTGCAACTTCCATTCTTCGCCATCTCTGCCCTGGAAGGAGGCCTGGGCTCCTCCTCCTGGACTCTGCAATGCTGCAAAGCAATTCTGTCTGTGCAATATCTCCATATAGCTCCATGTGGTCTGGAACTGCAGGAGGAAGAAAGCAACTACTGCATAAAGGAAAACCCAGAAAAATGGGGGGAAAAAAAGAAATAAAAGAGAAACCACAACCCTTCATGCTGCTGTGGCCTCTGGACATGGCAATACATGAGTTCACGGCAGTAGAACAGAGACTCTGGTGGTTTTCTCCTGAGTGCCAAGCCTCTAGCTCCCTGGGACGGACTTGCTTTTCAGACCCGGAGTGCCTGGGCAAGCTGCTTATTGAAGATGGTGGTGCAGCTGCCTCTCCGCTCCTCACTGTTCCCCTCGGCCGTGCTCCCAGGCCATGCGGGCCTGTTCCTCCTTGGTGCTCCCAGGAGGCAGTGAGGCCTTTCGGTGCAGGCCCCTTGGCCTCTCAGCCTCCTCCCGCAGTAGCACACCCTCATCATGCTCTAGGGCTGGCAGGCGGGGGTGGTAGGGCTTGGGTGGAAGCGCAGGGGGGTCCATGGGGTCCTGAGGGATGACACACCCTGGGGCTGAGTGGCTTCTGCACGGCTGGGACTTGATGGCGTCGAGGACAGCAGACTCAGAGAGGCTGCAGTGGACAGGGAGGTAGGGCGGCTCAAGGTCTTCATCACCACTCCAGGCCTGGCTTGGCATGGAGTCCATGGTGTCTGTTCGAGGTGGGGCCTCTGAGGGGTGCCCAAAGTTACTCTCACTCAAGGAGGACACACCGCTGCTGGCACTGCCAGACAGCGTAGAGTTGCTGCCATCCAGACCCGATTGGGGGCTTGTAGGGGAGGCTGGGATGGGGTGGAGAGGAGACTGTGCGAAGGAAAGGGTGGGTAAGTTAGAATCCCCCTAGACAGGTGGACTGGCCTGCCATGTGGAGACCAAGAGTCTGCTTATCAACGAACGTTAAAATCTTATCAGTTTCATGTCTGTGTCTTCAGCAATGATTCCCCCTAAGCATCTTCCCCCCAAAGCAAGCTAGTGGAGCCCAGAATCACTATTATTTCTGCCCTGCCCTGGCGGCTGGGCACTGATACACCTGGGATCAATTCCCAGGTTGGATATGGTCTGGGTCTTCAGGCAGAAGGAACCCTGCTGGGCCACAGATGAGGTGAGTGTTACTCTGTTGCTAAAATCTGTCACAGACTTGGTCTATTCCCATTTGCAGAAAAATGAAGCTAACAAGAAGAGTCAAATTTTACTTCTTGAATTTTTTGTAAAACTTTAGTGCCTGATATTTCACATTTTCAGTTGACACTAATTTTAAAAATTCTTATAAGCCACCACAGGGACATTTAATTAGCTATTGGGCTACAGTGTGTTGAGAGCCTGTGGTATTGGCAGAGAGCCCCCCAAGTTTCTCTCTACACACATACTCTTGTTGTCAGTGTTGTCCATAAGACCCCCCGATCTCCCTGTTCATTGCAGGATTCATGGGTCACCTGCTGCTCTAGTGTGGCTCTAGCCACCCCCAGCTTCTGCCAGCTTAGGCTCTCAGGACAGAGGAGAGGAGAGGCAGGTTCCTCTTGTAGGCCCCCAGGGTGTCTACAGCAGATGAGGCGGTGGGACAGGTGCTTCAGTACATTACCTTGCGCAGGGTCCGGGCAGGGAGGGCTGGGGGGGCATCACCCAGTGGGTGGTGGAAGGCGTCAAAGTGTAGGGAGTAATGACCTGCAAAGAGAACAGAACCGTAGCCTCAGCTGGGGACCCCCTGCACAAGCTGCACAGCAGCATCACCCTGCTGGGCACTGGGCAGGTGTGGAAAAGTCCCCCAAGAACACCTCAGCACTGAAAGTCACTTTTTCTTTACACTGACAGTCTGTAAAATACAGGTCACTGAGGTAAAAGAATCCCATTCTACACAGGAGGTCAGGAGTTTGAGTACTTCAGAGCCCATGAAGCAGGCTTCAGCAGGAGAAGTTCTGGTCCACTGCAGATGATGGCAGACTGGTGAGTGGTATATCTGGCACAGCTGGTTTTGTCGTCTTCAGCCTCCCTGCCTGGGATGGCCTTACTGAGCTAGTTTGCAGGACTCAAAAACCTTATTGGCCCCACTATTCAGCAGGGTCCTTTCTGTGGTGTGGATGTTTTATCCTTGGCTGAGACAGCCTAGAAAGCTTTTGATCTAGCCTTTGTCAGAGTTTGAGATGAGAAACTATTTGGGGGACCCGCTTACCATGCAGCAGGCTTCGGGGAGGCACTGGGGGAGCCAGGATGTGCCCCATGAGGGCAGACAGGAAGGGCTGGGCCTCTTGGGCTCCGCTATCCAGGCTCCAGCTGCTGGGGGCTGCTGGCACCGCTGAAGGGTGGAAAGAGATGGAGTGAACGGAGGTTACTTCTTGAGTTTCCTGCTCGGAGAAGCTGCCCTACAGCCTGAGGCTTCTCTATGTCTGCTCTGTGTAGTCAGCATACAAGAGGCATGTCAGGCCCTACAGCTGAAAATACTAGCCAAGCAAGACACTGTGGCCCAGAGAGATAACTGGCCAGTGATTGAAGCTGCCTCTGAAGACAAGAATAAGCTGGTTTCTGAAGAGTGTTCAGGATAAAGCAGACTGAGAGAACATGCAATGAGGAGACCTGCAGTCTCTGGGATCTGTCAGAAGCAAAACCAGAAGACCACAGGAGAGAACAGGAAAGGCTGAAGAGATCAAGAACATAGCACAGAACACAGAACTCTTCACAAGTCAAGAATTAGTTCAAGGCTCTTGAAGTTCCCATGCCCTGTGTGAAAAGCAGGGAGCAGGACAGGAGATGGAGACCGTGTCCTTTGAGAGGCAGCTCCGCTGGTTCTACAGGGAGCCTGTGGTAACATTTAGAACACTGACCCATCCCTGTTCTTATGCCTACTGACTGGGTTTAAGAGCAAGACATTTTCTGAGCAAGAAGAGATATTTAAGGAACCCACTGGAGTCTCAGCCTGGAACCAGGGGAACACACTGCTTCCTGAGAAAGGGAGAGGCTAGAAAGTCCTTGGTGCAGAATAGAGCAGGACCCAGACAAAGCAGCAGTGCCTCAGTGCTGGCTCTTTGGCTGAGGTGACAGTCCTTTGGTAAAGGGGAGAGAAGAGCAGTGGCTAGACCTTCACAATTTGGGGTTTGGCTACTCTGCAGGTGCAGGAAGGGAAATGTGAAGCTTGTTTAAATGGTTCTTTTCAGAGAACCAACACTAGCAAGAGGAAACATGCCTTTCCTCTGCTGGAGCCTTTTGGAAGGGCAGCCTAGCAGAGTACAGGTGTCTAATATGGGTTCTGTTTTAAAACAGTGGGAGCTTGAGGTATCCAAGGTTTGGGCTTTCATGGCCCAGATACTCAATGGAGAATTCCAAGGCCTGATAGGAGCTGGGAGCCTCCAGAAAAAGCTGGAATCTGGCCTTTGAGTAGGAGATGGTCCAAAGTGCTGGGCCCAAGGCATTCCATGGATAGAGGGATGACATCATTTTTCTTCTCTTTGCTCAAGGACTAGCATGGGCTTACATACAACACAGCAAGGTAAAACTCCAGCTATAAGGATGCTTAATCTCATGATACATTGATGGCTAATAGCAGGAAGAAGGGGCATCTGAATCTGATGAGTAGCAACTGAGCTGTTACCTGCAGAAAAGAATTCTGAATCTGATAAGCATCAGATGGCTTCCTCAGAAATTCTGAGACCAAGAATAGGCATATCTTCCTCCAGGTTCTCCAAGGTGCAGCAAGGGCTTCTTGGTTCTAAGCATCCAAGTTCTCATCTCCCAAACAAAAACATTTATGATGAAAGCCACAGGTCTCGGGAGTGGCAGCTTAGAGATGATCCTGTGAAGCTTCTTCTCTAAAAGGACCTGACAACCCAAGATCTCAGACATGTCCTTAATGCCCTAAAGAACTGAAGGGGCTGCTAAAATTTACCCCAAGGGTCCAAAGGAAATTGAGGTCAGGGGCACTGCAGGGAAAGAATGCTAGGAAGGCTGTCATGGCGTACTTAGGATGGCATGTGAGTGAGCCATTCCATGTCAACCAGAAACCACAAATCTGCAGTGACGCCAGTGGACCTTTGCCATGTAGTGTGACCAAGGGAACGATTTATTCTAGGAGAAGAGCAATAACCTCTGTGTCCTGTCATCTGTCAGCATTAAAAGCTCTACAGCATTGGCCTGAGGTCCCCAGTGCACAGTCCCTGACCTGAGGGCAGCCTTGTCTTGCCCAGGTGTGACTGGAAAAAAAAAAAGAACCTACAGGTGAGAGGTAAGTTTCTAGGGGGACCTAGGAGTTAGTCTGGCCTGTGTATTACCAATGGGAAATTGCCTAATTTGTTGCCACTAAGCATTGACCTTGTGGTTTGGATATGGTAGCTCTGGGCTTGGTTTTTGTTCTGAGACACCTGTCCTTCCCCTAGACACCTAGGGTGAGCGTGCCCAGCTCTTTGCTGCAGTGTAGCTTGTGAGGCCTGAGGTTCTTCTGTGACCAGCTGATGTAGCATCCTGGTCTGACCACCAATACTGATTTGAGCTCTGAGCTGTGCGATTCTTGGCTAGTTTTGAGATTGCTCTGCATCTTAGGTGAAGAAAACCATTGTGGATTCTAGCCTTCCAGGCCAAAAAGGCCCATTGTTTTGGGGTCATAGGTACAGGAATCCAAGGAGTCACTTTTTCAGGATGTGCAGCCTTGAGGTTAGGAAGGCATCTTCAGTAGGCCTTTTGTGGTGGAGCATCTGGCACTAATGCCCACTAGGAACCAAGGTTTGGACCCAGTGTTTGAACTCCTTGGAAAGGACACAGAGTTTGTCCTTTACAACAACCACCAGGGGTACAATGACAGTGGGGACAGCAGACAGCACTTGGTAAGCAGGCGCAATGACAACAGGATGAGAGCTTTGCAGGGATATGGCCTGATGGGCTAAGGGGCAATAGCCTATTGGTGGGAAGTGAATATGTACTAAGCACAGCAGATGGAGGCGAGGAGAGAACCATGGGACCAGGTTCTGCTTGACAGACAAGCTCAGCATGGTCCCCATTTAGGTGCTGCTGTGCTAAAATTATTAACTTAGGTGTCTAGGGCTTCAGTCAAGGTTATAGAGGTTGGACACACGTTCTTACATCAGCTTGCAGAACACAGGGTAACGTGTCACATCCATGCAGGTGCAGCTCTAGGGAGAGTTTCTCAGTGGTATGGTGTAGTACAGATGGAACCAGCAGTCACTGGCCAGAGTGGCTAAACAGTGACTGGACTTCACTGAAGCACACAGAGCTTTCTCTGCACAAACTTAATTTTGGAAATTCGCTGTAGTATATATGTTCTATTCCTTTGGAGCTTTCACTGACCACAGTCCATTCTGAGCTCCAAGAAGTTTCTGAAGCCCCAGATGTACCAGCAGGCATACTAAATTCTAGGAGTTATTAGGAAGAACCTAGGAGAGTAGACGCCCACAACAGCCTGAGTTATAACAAATTACTCAAGGCAGATGGGCCTCTCTGAGGGTGGGCCCTAGAGAGAGGGAAATACAGACAGACAAACAGGATCCAGGCCAGCTGTGGTCTAAACAGTGACCTGAGAAATTGGTCAGCACTACGTCTAGGGAGACAGACATGAGCATTTTGGTTGTGGCTCAGACCTGGACAGTTGGTAACTCAGGAACAAGAGTTAGACACTCAAGATGGGACAAACATGAGAGAGCTCCTAGAGAGAGGAAAATACCTTTTTCAGCCATAGACAGATTGGGATCACTGCAGGGTTTACAGGCTCCAACTACTTGCTGGAACAGGGCCCGCTGGAAGTTTGGTGGCTGAGGGAAGGAGAAAAATATCAAAGAGTGTAAGAGCAGCCAGCTACATCTGGGAGGCAGTGTTATGGACTACAGGTGCCAGGATGTTCTAAGCTCAGATGAGGATATCAAAGCAGTAAGATAGCTCATGCTTGAGATGTGCTGAGAGCTTCACGCAGCCCTGGGAAGGCTGCTACAACAGTCCAGGTGTATTTGGATCTGAGCACTTCATGGACATTTGAGACATCACCCAGGCTGTCATGTGCAGGACATAGGTACTTTCCATTATTCAACTGTCACATATTTCTGTTTGCCAGGGAGACCACTGACAGAAAGGATTTAAAAACCCTGTCTGCTCCAGAGCACTGATAGGTCTTAATTCTCGGAAGTCCCCACCCAGATCCAGGTTAGCACTGAGGGGAGAGAAAGGCAGCACCCATACCTGGAGTCTGGCAGGTCCCATTGCTCTTCTGAGCAGCACCCATCAGATCTGCTCCCTGCCTGACAGAGGGGTGCCATTGAGAAACTCCTGGCACTTCGGGTCTAGGACAGTTACTTGGAAGTGACTTTTATGGCTCTGGATAGAAAGTCTGGGGCAAACTGCACAGGGCCAACTGTTATTTGCTGGTTCAAGCATGGTGTCTGGAAAACTAAGTGCGGAGGTCAACCCTAGCAGGACACACAGACGTCCTCCTACCTGTGTTTACTACAGCCTCCTCAGGATGCAGAAGAATGGGTCTGTGCAGGTCAGAAAGATGGCTAGAGGTTTAGGAAGCCACCCAAGCAGGTATAGTCCTGGTCGCCAGTCTACCCAAACCTACACTGGACTTCTGGCCCTCAGATTTATTGTCTTGAGGAGTCCAACAGCTTTCTTACAGAATGAGGGAGGCATGCAAGACTGTGCATGCAAAGGTTTAGCAGATGCAATGAGGGAGCCCAAGCCAACACACTTGTAGCAGAGGACAGTTAGTCAAGGCGAGGCCTGCTACCTGTCCATTCTCTAGGATGGCTGCTGGATACATGGCACTGCTTGGGCGGTCCCGATGTGCAGGCAACAGCAACATCATTTCCCGGGCATGTCGGTACTTATCTGGCAGAGAGGGAGAGCCTGTAACCAAGTGAGAACAATCACGAACAGATGACAAACCACAGATGGAGGGCTAAGTGGCCAAGCATCCTTAGGACTGGGGACCAGGGTAGGTGTCCCTTACAGCTAGGGTGAACTCAGCATAACACAGAATGAAGGAGATCTAGTGAACAGACGGTGAAGACTGAATCTGCTATCTTGGCTGAGGCACATCCATTGACAGAGGCCACCACCATACCCAGAGGCAGAAGGTAAGGAGAGTTGAGGCCTGGTGCGGGGTGCTTAGGGTGTTTGAACCTTGTATTCTCAGGAAGAAATGTGGTCTGAACATGGGCTCTTCCAGAGGACCCGGGAGTGGGCCAAGGTCAGCTTGTGATGGAGCCATCACACAGACAAGAGACACTTGGAATAACAACCACATAGTTCTGACTTGACATACTGGGTCTACACACACTTACCTTCTCCAAACACCAGTGGTTCTGTTTTCAACTGGCTTCCAACTACCCTTTTGGCAAATCCCTTCCAGAGGGTAGGTTCCCACTGCCTTGATACTGCCTACCTGTCAGACCTATTACAGCTTTACACTAGGCTAGCTGGAAGCCTTGGACCCTGTATACAGTTGGTTTGATACTTGCTGGCCCTTGAATGCTCTGGGAGAATGCTCTTGTACTCTGTAAAGATTTGTCACTCATATTGGTTTAATAAAATGCTAATTGACCAGCAGCCAAGCAGGAAGTATAGGCAGGGCAACCAGACTAGGAGAATTCTGGGAAGAGGAAAGGCAGAGATGCAGTTGTCATCCAGAAGCAGAGGAAGCAAGATGAGAATGTGTTACTGAGATAAGGTACCAAGCCACATGGCTAAACATAGATAAGAATTATGGGTTAATTTAAATTGTAAAAGCTAGTTAGTAATATGCCTGAGCAATAGGCCAAACACTTTATAATTAATATAAGCCTATGTGTGTTTATTTGGGACTGAATGGATGTGAAACCAGGTGAGTTCAGGGACATAGAACTAACCCAGAAAGCAAGGGACGTAGACCCAGGCTTTTTCCTCCCTTACTGTGTAGCCCTGGCTGTTCTGGAACTTGCTCTGTAGACCAGGCTGGCTTTGAACTCAGAGATCTGCCTGCCTCTGCCTCCCATTGTCCATCTAGACAAAGGTTCTTGAGTTGACTTATTTCATGTTATTTTCCTTTTGTTACTTTTCATGTTCTTTTTCTATGAAGCCAGTGCAGTGACTGCTGGCTGAGGTGCTATTAAAGCATTGAGGAACTTCCCCTCTGTGGTTCTTAAGAGAACTTTTTATAGAAACAGTAAGATACTGCTGGCTTTCCCGTGGTAGGGTAATAGGAACACTTCTGCAAATACACACTATTCATTGTATCAGACAACTGACTAGCCACAGTGCCTCCATGGCAGAGTCATCTCGACCTCAATGTTTCTGGCTGACTCAGCTCAGAGGAGCTGGACAGTAGATACTAGCCATGGGCTCCAGCTGAGAGGCGAGTCTGCAGATCCCAGAGGGCATCTGAGTCTGAAACCCACTGTCTCTGGGGCCTGTGGTGCTGGTACTAGAAAAAAAAGATAATCTAACAGATCAAAGCAAAACCAGGTCTTCATTCAGCTTACTGCAGGGATCCTTGAGAAGTCCAGGTGTTCATTTTAGTTCAAAAAGAACATAATACCAACAATGTAATTTTTCTGCTGTTATTTTTATAACTTTTTCTACAGCTGTTCTGAGAGAACCTCTGGGCTGGCTTTAGGACTTTTGTAACATCCTTCAATGATAAGGGAATGCATAGAGTATGGTTACTTAAAAATTTTGAATTTCTTTGTTTTGTAGCTTTACTGATATTTATGTTCTATTTTAAAATTTGTGCTTTAAGGCAATCTCAAGAAGATGGCTATGTAGAGAAAAGAAATTTTAAAAAAGCTCCAAATCACACTGATTTGTCTGTCTTCCCAGATGAGAGAGACTGTGAATGCCCCTAAGCCCTGCGGGCAACCTCTAGACATGACTATCTGCACAGGACAAAAAGAAACATCACTTGGAGATCAGCGCACCTAGAAAATTCGTCTCTTCAATGCCTATTCCACAGTAGGCACAGGCTGGAATTGCTTCCCTCAGGCCATGTCCTCTCACCTCAGAAAGCATCCATATGTGCTGGGGCTGCATGAGGAGCATCATCCTGAAGGTCTGGGGGTTCTGGTGAGGACTTACATTCAAGTTGTGGCGGCCGCTTGTGTGTTACAACAAAAGAGTAGAGTGTACTAATTTTCTTCAATTCAGCTGCCTCACTTTCCTATGCCCTAGGCAGTCAGTCCTTGGTGGGACAGAGCGGTGTTAACTTTCATGAATACATTTAAATACTATGAGGGTTTGTCTGTTCATGGAGCTTCTGAACTACTTCAGCTGCCTCCAATAATCAATCCGGAAGTTGGGTCCTAGTCTTATCAGCGTTTTGACCGGCAGGGGGAGCCATGGACTTAACAAGAATTTCAACTGTTCTTTGTTATTCTCCCTGTTCTCACAGACTTCTAGTTACAAGAACCATAGTAGAGGTTGTCAATGGGTATGTAAAAGAAGAACAATGGTCTTATGACCTAGGAGTGCAGAACGGGATTCTATTCCAGACCATATTCAAAGAAACTTTTCCCTCACTGGTAACAAGGGACATTAAAGAATGAACAGACCCCTCACTGCCTTGTTTATCAAGAGTGCATCCATTGCCACATCTACTTGAAAACATGAGACTTACCCTATGATGTTGTGCAGTCCTTGTCAAAACTATTTATCTGTAAAGCTATCCAGCTTTACAGCGTGGTGAGTGACAGCACATGCCCGTGTGTGAGTGGAGTCAGAAAAGACTTCTGGGAGCCAATTCTTTCCTTCTTCCGTGGTTCCGGGGAGTGAACTCAGGAAATGCAGGCCTATGTGACAAGTGCTTTTACCCACTGAGCCATCTCACTGGTCCCACGCAGTTTGTCTTTCCCCCACACGTTCGGCACTGCCTGACAGGCATCTGGGTGTGCAGCTAGACGGCTGGTGTAGAGACTACATGAATGGTGTAGTTTAAAGTGGCTTCCTTTATTTCTAACTGCTTCTGCCCTTGTTATTAGTTCCCTGCTTTGGGCCAAGTTCTATTTAACTATTTTGTTTATTTATACACTTACAGCCTCAGAAAGGGAAGAGGCTTTTTTCAGCCATTCAGAGTCTGTCTCTAAAACGACAATCGTCAGTGACTCCGTTCTCAACTCCATGCTCTGCTCCTCGTGAAACATCTGGTTAAGTCAGAATTCTAAGACACAACTGTTTTAAGATATCTAAGTTTTGAGAACACTGTATACTATGCCACAACAGATAACAAAGACATTAGAAAGAAATAAAGAGATAACCAGGAGAACTTTTTTCCTGTTTCACTCATTAGACAAGAGCCATGCAGTTTCTCCACTGAGCACTCAATAAAAGCTTATGAGGACCAAATCAGTTACTAGTCGCTGCGGCCCGCAGGCATCATGCAGTGAGATTCAGCTGATAGAGTAGAAGCTGACCCACCAGAGCAAATGTGTTCTGATGGAGATAAACACAGTTCTCAAGGCGCTGGGCCCGCCACCTTTTGTATATCGGCTAATTCTCACAGTGGATCTCTTGTGAAGCCATTCGTTCTCCCTTGGTACAAGATTCAGCAGAGTATGGATTATTGGGCACAATTCTTTCCCATGTAGTGTTTGGTATATTGGGTCATTCCAGCCCGCTCCCATGGAACCTCTGGTGGGAAATTCAGTCACACAGTCAATAAGCTTGGCTCCCACAGTCTAATCTCCGCTTTGTTCCCTGAGATATGTTAGAAGCCACCTCCCTGCAGCTATCTTCCATTTGGCAGGACATGCAGTCAGGAAAGGAGTCTCTCATATAGATCACATTTGGGACCTTCAAAGATAGGGATGTCCAGGCTCAGAGAACTGCCTTTGGTTTGTGTGTATGTAAGCTGGAAACTACAGAACAGGAGGACAGCAGGAGAAGAATAAAGAAACTGATGCAGAAAAGTACATAGTGGAGAGTTCATTTCGCCCTCCGATCTAAGTCCCGTATTTGCTAAGTCTTCTTCTGAACCCTGAAGGGGGCATTGAGGCTGGCACTCTGAGGTCCCTGAGAAGTCTGCTAGAAGGACAAATGATGGTGTCATGGTTAATCTTATTGTTATTGGATTTAAGGTCACCTGAGACAGGATTCTGGGTGCAGAAAGGTGTAAGTGAGGAGGGAAGACCCACTCAATGGGCCAGAGACCTAAGTTGCATAAAAATAGGGGGAAACCAGTGCTGCCTTATACACCTGCTGCAATACCTTCATACTGTGAGCCAAAATAAACCCTTCCTCGACTTGCATGCCATGTATTTAGTCATAGCAATGAGAAGAGTAACCAATACAGGCAGTAACAGCTAGCCTGAAATGTCTCTAATAGCAGCCACAGCACAGAAGAATATCAAGCAGTATCAGAGCTGGAGAGATGGCTCAGTGGTTAATAGCCTGCTGCTCTTCAGAAACACCTGAGTTTGGTGCCTAGCGCCTCTATCAGACAGCTAACCACAGTCTGTAACTACAGTCCCAGGGAATCTGACACACACATACACATAAATTTAAAAAAAGTACCAGAGTAATACTGAATTAAAATATCCATCATTTGTTTATCAATAATCATGAATCTGCAAGAATAACCAGATAAGTAAGGCTGGGAGGTGATGAAGCGTGTCTTTAAGGTCAGCCTATCTAAAGAGTGAATTTCAGTCCTGGATAGGACTACACAAAGAAATATTGTCTTGAAAAACCAAGAACAAACAAAAAATCAGAAAAAAAGAATAGCCAGAATAAGCCTTAGATATGGCTGAGCACACCTCAGAGACTTCAGGTTAAAGAATACAGCAACGCTTAGATGATATATGGAATCTGTATCTGCAGCTCTAAACAGGGCACTTACACAAGATTGGAAATACCAATGTTTAGACATACACAGCTATTTTGTGGACTTTCCTTCCTTTCTATTCCCAGAGCCATCTTTTAGTAGGCCCTTTCATAATACACAGTCCTTTCTCTGTTTGCAGCCTTCATAGATTGTGTTCCCAAAAGTTGGCCCCTCTTGTCTGAATCCCACAGTTCATGTTAGGAAAGTAATATGGGTAGCAGAATGGGCAGACTTTGGGCTGTTGCCTGGAAAGAACTGCACCCCACATTCAGCATTCACTTCTTCACTGGACCTACGGACCGTCCAACAGTGCTTTAAACTGAAATCTGTGACTGCTCTGCTGTAACCTTGCTCACTTCCCTCCACTTTACCAGTGTCTTCCCCTAGCTGGCCATTGCATCCATCAGGACACACTTCATTGGTTCTTTCTATCTTGCCTACTGTGGGCCTTACAGGTTTGTATACTTTAGAGAGAATCCTTAAGAATACTGCTTGTTCTTCTAAAGGCCCTGAGTTCAATTCCCAGCAACCACATGGTGGCTCACTGAAGAGGGATGTCCTTCTGTATATGTGTTACTTTTATTGGTTAATGAATAAAGCTGTTTATAGCAGGGCAGAATATAGCCAGGCTGGAAGAGATATATAGAGTAGGCAGAGTCAGGAAGATGCCATGTAGCTGCCAAAGGAGAGAAAGATGCCAGCCACCAGCCAGAACCCTACTAGTAGGCCACAGCTTCATGGTGATACACAGAATAATAGAAATGGGTTAATTTATGATGTAAGAATTAGCTAGAAATATGCTTAAGCTATTGGCCAAACAGTGTTGTAATTAATATAGTTTCTGTTTTATTATTCAGGTCTGGATGGCCTCCACCTACTGCTCACAGCTATCTGCAGTAAGATCTGGTGCCCTCTTGAGGAACAGACCTGGTCAGTCGTCCTCATCAACGTAGACCACGGAACCCAATATGGAAAAGTTCAACAGAACTGCCATACACGGGCTGCCCATGCATGCTTCAGCAATGCCAGGGCATAAATTTTATTTGTTTCCTTAGTGTTATAAGCTTGCGTTGTTTTTCTTTGTATATAAAATAATTAGAACAAAAAGAACCTATCCTTCTGAAGCCTAAAATCAACAGTCAGCGATGGGTTGACAGGCTCAGACCACTGTGCATGACAAATATTTCAGAGGGGAATAACTGAGTTTTCTCCTGGGTCATGTCCTTTTACTGAAGGAGAGATGCAATACTGGCTACCAAGTAGCAGCACAGCAGCAAATACTGCCAGAGCAGGATTTAAAGTCAGCTGGTGACCCAAACCCTCAAGTACGGGTGCTGAAAATACAAGCATTCTCTAACACAATGATGGATGGGGTTCCTAGGCAGGGAGACAGTTAACCCACAGCTCCTCAGCAGCCCTCTTTTAAGGCATGCAAGTATCAATGTTGGAGTCCTCTTTGACAAATGTCATCATCAGTGGCAGGTAATGCTCTCGGAGATAGGGAATTAAAAGGAGACAGATTTTTACACACTATATGGAAAATCTCTATGATGCTTATGACCATTTCCAAGTGCTGGCCTTCCTTCCATGGACAGATTAAAAATAAACAGTACTGGCCCTTCAGTACGTGATGACAATCCGCCAACTGGTTGTAAACTAAGGTTAGAGCTAAATCAGTGACAAGGGCTCCAAACTGGCCTCAAACAAAGCCAAAAGGTAAATTAACAGCAATATATGCTGTTGTTTATTCATTATTGGCCTAAAGCTAAGAAATCCAGAAGGTAAAATCGATAACAGTAAAATTAAGGTAGTTATTACATCTATCTTGGGTGTGCCCTAAATTCTAGGCTACCCAGAACAACTTTGAGCTAACCACAAGGCTAAACCAAACTCAAACATTTCCTCCTCAGTGGGTCCAAAAGGTGGAGCACTGCTTGTGCACTCTAGGCCTATGTCACTCCCACCAATAAAAACTATACAAGCAGGTCAAGCATGGACACACCTTTAACTCCAGCTTTTGGGAGGCAGAGGCAGGCAGATGGATCTCTGTGATTTTTGAGACAACCAGGTCTACATATTGACTTCCAGGCTAGCTAGGGGTATATAGTGAGAATCTATCTCAAAACAAAATCCAAAACAAAACAACATCCCACAACCAAAAAGGCTGTGGATTCTCAGTTTCTCTCTTGTCCTCACCTTGTTTTCCAATGCATTTTTTTATTTTTTATTTTTTTACTTTTCGTTCTATTAAAGATATAACTTTCTTTTTCTCTTCTTTTTCCATGTTACTTTTCTGGACAGCTACTCAATCCTAGGTACTTCTCTGACACTCTGGGCATGCCCTCTCCCAGTAAAACTACCCAAGGATTCCCACTCCTCACTGCAGCTTCTATAGATTTACAGTGCTGACCCAACCTGCTTTTTGACTTTCAGCACAGAGAGAGTAGCTTTCTCTTTCCCCTTCTGTCTCTTCCCTTCAGGCAGCTGGGGGGAACTCTAGCTTGCTTGCCTGCTATTTTCTCAAACCCCAATAAAATTGCTTTTGATTTTTAAGTCTCCTTTTAAATTCTTTTATCCATCTACAAAAGGGATTCAGTGTCCCTTGGTGACAGCAAGGCCACTCTCAAAGATATAGGCGCAGATGAAAGGAAGACAAGTGGGATTCATGAAGCTTTCTGTTCTCCTTCAACAAGCAGCATCCTGTCATCCTTACCTCGGGTACTAGAAGGGGCAGAGGTGATCATCTGGGATGGTGCTGAATGAGTGGAACTCAGGCTGGAGGAAGAAGGGCTTGCCTGGGATGAGGATAGAACAGAGACGTTGGTGACTGAGCCCTGGTACCTGGGGTTGTGATATGCAAGCTGTAAAGAAAAAAAAAATCAGCATTCTGAATGACCAGTACTGTAAAGCTGGTACAGAGAGAACTGGCTTATGCACCCATGACCTGAAGTACCCTAACCAAGTAACTGATACTGTATTCTGGACCCTGCTGGAGGCTGGAGTAATTAATGGTAAGCACTATGGACTACTCATAAAACCCACATGGAGCAAGACAGTTGTGATGGCACTATTGTGCTACACATGGAGAAGAATTTGGGACTTAGCCATCAGAACTACCAAACAGGAGACTAATTTGGCAAAGATCTTTGCCACTTTAATCTCTAATATCAGCTAGGTCTGAAGCTAGATTTCCTGCTTGTGAAATAAGGTATGGAAACTAAGACGGGGTGGTATGTAGAAAGAAGGCTGTCTGGCTAGCTATTGAAAGGTGTGTTCTGAATCCAGGAACTAGAGTCATCAGACCAGACTCCAGAAAGGTGAGTCCTCTAGCCATGCCACCCTGTTCATTCTCACAGCTCAGTACCTGCATGTGGTGGTAGAGGTCTTCAGGAGCTTCACCCATAGAGCTGTCACCCATCATCACCATGTTCCCTGCTTCACTAGATGCATGTGAGGAGAGAGACGAGGATGAATGGCGACCTGTGCCCATTAAGTTCATGGGGCTGTGAACAAGAGTAGGAGATAGGGAGGAGTCAGGTAGCAGCTAGGAAAGCATGCTAGGCAGTAGGGACAGTGGACAGATTTGTGAAACAGTGATAGCCAGCCTAAGCCAGCACTGGTTTGGAGAGTTCTATAATCAATGTTCACATCTGTATGAGGCCTGGAGGAATCCTGAGCCCCACTTTGCTACTGGCCTGGAAAGGCTTATGCTAGTACAATCTCTCCTTACAGTTAAATGGATCAGAGCCATTCAGTATGAAGGCACTAGCAGTATATCAGGAGAAATGAGAGAGAGAGAGAGATGATCAATCAGGTCAGGAATCTTACATCCTTCTTCCTATGGAATATCAGTCTGAACAGTGCTAATCTAGCACACACTATTATGAGATTTGCTCTGAGCTCAGGAGTCTTATAGGGATGAAGACACTATCAAAAGAGAGCTGTAAACTGTCTGTGGGTTTTTGCCTGTATCTATGGCTACAAGTTTCCCGATAACTTTCCTCCATCAATACCAGGAGGCCGTTTGTTCAGTTGTTTCTGTTCTCATTTGCTGAGTGGCCACTCTTTTGGGTTGCTGATCATGTTGGAAAAGAAATCTTAGTGAGAGACTCCTTGTACTGGCTTCCTTTCCTAAACCTGGCTTTCCTGTCCTAAAGGCTTTGAGCATTCCCACTTATGCCTGCTCAGCTCAGACTCTTGAATTTTGAGCAGTCATTACTTAATGCCCATACCACCAATATTATTAGCTTCCTTAAAAATAATCAACGATTTTCATTCTCTTTGGGCTCATGTCCAAAGGCACATATGAACACTACCGAGCTGGCCCTGCCCCCTTCCATGCTGGAGTCCTGTACCCTGCCTCTTACCTCTATTACAGGACTGGCTAGGTTTTCTTGTTCACATCATACATGTGTAAGTTCTTTGCCCGGATCTTGTCCCATCACTCTTCTAACGTGGACTCTTTACTGCCTAGCAAACCTTTGTCTGTCCTTCACGACTTATCCCAATCTCCCCTCCCCTGTGTACTCAGAATACTATGTGTGTGCTTCTGTTACATAGGACAGTGATTAATTAGATGCAGGTGAAATGCCACTGACTGACCAGTGTAGGAGCTGCTTGAGGCAAGGCTGGGGCCTAGGGGATAAAAGGGCATGTGAGCACACACAAGTACTCTCTGCAGGTCTTTTTCTCTCATGTTTATCCTCCAGACCTATCTCTCTGGAGGAAACCTTCCACAGCCCTAATGCCATACCTGTGCCTGTGGGTCATCTTGATGTTCTCAGGGCTCATGGGGCTATGGGATGCCAGAACATTTCCCCGTGGGGTGCTGGTGCCTGAACATGCAGGACTTAGCTTATCCAAACCTGGAAACTCCTGTTGAGAAATGAATACTTGTTCATAGAGAGCAACGAACAGACAAGGGGTAGGAGAGATGAGTTGACGGTAAAAATGTGAAACAAATGAACAAACAAAAACCAGAACCATGTGATATACTTCTGTTTTTTTTCTAGACAATCACATCTTCATTACTAAATACTCCTGCAAGCATACTGGAACCTAGACCAGATGCTATGGAGTCCCGGGTAAAATTCCATTGAGAGACATCGGGAATAGGCTGAAGTGAATCTGAGTTCACAGGAGAGTGTTAACAGGCTTCCTGACTTCACAGTAAGCAGAACAGAGACTGGGAAGGAGGAGAGGAAGACTTATTGGCTGTCAGTCAGTGAAAACTCTAACATAAGAACTGGTGCTGGGTTTTATTGGATCGCTGAATGGCTCAGCTCTTAGTGACCTGAGTTAAGTTGCCTGTGACACAGCCTCTAGGGAAATAGGAAACAATGTCCTGATGTAAGTAATTGAAAACAGCAGTTCTACCTTTAGCATAATTAAATTCTTACTAAGTATGTAGACTTCTTAGCAGAAACTACTAATCTAATTTCCCACTGGGTGATAGAAAGCATACTGATCTTTGTCTCTGTGACAATGAGGAAATTTTGTTGTTGCTTTTATTTTTTTGAGATAGGGTTTCTCTGTGTAGCCTTGGCTGTCTGAGAACTCACTATGTAGACCAGGCTGGTCTCAAACTCAGAGATCTGCCTGCCTCTGCCTCTGCCTCTCAACTGCTGGGATTAAAGGTGTGCACTACCACTACCCTACAACAATGAGGGATTTTTAGAGCATAACTTTATTCAGGTTTTCTCAAGATCTTTCTAATATATGATGGACAAAAACTCTTGTCTACAGAACATGTTTCTGAGCTAGACTTAAAGTGGCAGGCACATTTTCCAGGTTCTTCTTCCCAAGCAGGTATCATGTTACAGTGTGTTTCTGCAATGTGCACAATAGGGGCCTTCAAGTCTATGGGCAAGCACTTGGTGCTTTTGTTGCAGTGATCTGACTGCAGAGATGTGGCAGGAAACCCCCTGGTGCCAGGCTCTACACTGTCTGGGCTACGAGATGGGATGGGAACTCTGCATAGAGCAGAGACCACCTATGCTAATGAGGTGGAATCCCCATCAGATTCAGTGATGCTACTCAAGTTCTATACTAGCCAGTGATCTTAGTTTTAAAGGAAAAATATTTATGTTCTACATAAATTCCATGGAAGGCCATGGGGGAACCCTACCAAGAAGCAGAAATTTTGTAAGCTATAGAAATTTCTCTGCAAAGTGGGCCAGTCTCTAAAACTGTAATGAGCGGCTTTTTCTGTTTTGCTTTTTATGCTGTCCACTTTTTTTGTTTTTCGAGACAGGGTTTCTCTGGTAGACTGGGCTTAGCCTTGAACTCACAGAGATCCACCTGCTTCTGCCTCCCAAGTGATGGGATTAAAGGCGTGCGCCACCACCCCATGCTGTCCACTCTTGCAATGAATTGGCTGAGGCCTGCACTGGGAATCTGGAGAGTCTAGGAGAACTACAACCTGTAGCACACAAGAACAAAGCAGGCCAGTTCCAAGTGGGACAGCTCACTGAGTCCTGCCTTTATGTCCTCTCTAAAGAGGAAACTTCTCTATGACAGCTATATTTCTTTGTTTCCCTAATACTTATACCTGGTGGCCCTCAGTAAAATGAGAAGAGAGCCTCACAGGTAGCTTGGTGGGTATTTTGGCTCATGGCCACTGAGGTCTGGGAGCCAAGACATTTAACAGAAAGTTAGCAATAATTTTAGAGTCAGCCTTGTGGTTAAAATTGGATGAGGGTATGTGATGTGAATAGGGGTCTGGGCACTCAGTGCTGCCTGAATCTCATCTCCAACCAGCCATCATTCTATGCCAAGGAAAACTGATCCTGGAATACAGGTCCTGCCCGTGTGCATTAGTTCTTGGGCCAAATCTGCTATGGAAGGTGAAGAGCCAGGTCAAACTTAAGTAGATAATCTGGGGACTGGTATGATACCTGCGACCTTTAACAGAAGCCAGAATGAAAGTACTTGGTGCCAAATACTTTCTTAGATGTGATCCTGGATCATAAGACATTACAAAAGAAATTGAGAAGGGAAAAATAAAGTTAGAGGGGAAGAAAAGGCAAGAAGGAGGGAAGGTGGACAGGGAGAAGGAATGAGAGAAAGGGGGAAGAAAATGGGTAAGGAGAGAAAAGAACAGAGATGACAAGAGGGCCAGTTCAGGCCCTACATTTATTCTTGAGGTCCTTGGCAAGAAAAATATCTCCAAAGAAATTCCTGCCTATGAGCCCTTTCTGCATGTGGAAAGCTCTAGTAGCACAGAGGCTAGAAAAATGTTCTTTGCCGTGAGTCTGACTCTTTCTCTGGGAGTGAGTGAACCAATGAGAAGATATTGAGCACCTGGCTTTGGATATAGTACCCACCACCCCCACCTCCCACCCCCTTGTGACAGGAATAGCTTCTCCCCACTTCCTTCCTACTTTTTTTTTGACTGTGGTATAGGTGTAGAGAAAGTGAAAGTCGGTTCTAGTGGGCAGGCATGGGATCAGCTTACGTGGTACAGACTGGCCCTCATCATCTGGAACTGATCAATCAGCTTCTTATGCAGAGGCCGCATTTCTGGATGCACAAACTTCTCGTGGACTGCCAGCCCAACTCCAAGAACGTGGACCTATGAGAATTGTCAAATAAGGCCTCTATGTTTAGCAGGAAGCAACCTCTGAGAACTGTGTCATTTTGTAGTATGTAACTTTCCCCACTGTTTTTGGACATTCTAAGTCCTACAAGCCATACCTGTTCCTGCATTAGCTCTTTGAGCTGGGCAATCTTCTCAGCATCTCCTGGGTGCTTGGAGATGTAATCCTTATCGAAGAAGGCCTGTAAAAAGAAAGTTCAGGTAATAAAAACCCGTCCTAGCCTTAGATGGAGCCCTTAAAAGGCAGCCAGGTTGCTTCCTCATAGGTGTTCTTCAGCAACTCCAGCTTGACCTGGTTAAACACCTAACAGTCAGGAATTGTGTATTTTCTGTGCCTGGAAAAGACTAGAGGTGGCCTAATCTGAGGCTGGATGCTAGCTCTGGTTTCTCACAAAGCTTGGATGGCATGACTATGCCGGGCAGAGCTGGTATCCTGGGCCTGTGCACCTGTGGTGGTATTTTATTTGCATTTTAATAAGTAAAGCTTGCCTGAAGATCAGAGAGTAAAACAGTCACACTGATCAGCTGTACAGACCAGACATTGGTGGCACACACCTTTAATCCTAGTAGCTGCACTAGTTCGCCATAGAAACCGGGTGGTAGTGATGCACGCCTTTAATTCCAGCAGTAGAGAGGAATATAAGCTGGGGTGAGATAGGAACTCATTTCTGATCTTCAGGTTGAAGCTCAATATCTGTCTCTGGGTTTTTATTATTCGTGCTATGTGCACCAGTTTCTTAGGTAGCCTGTCTCCATGAAAGACTGGGTTTCTTTTTTTTTTTTCCTTTAGTTTTTCAAGACAGGGTTTCTCTGTAGCTTTTGGAGACTGTCCCGAAACTAGCTCTTGTAGACCAGGCTAGCCTTGAACTCATAGAGATCTGCCTGCCTCTGCCTCCCAAGTGCTGGGATTAAAGGTGTGTGCCACCATTGCTCAGCAAGACTGGGTTTCTTAAGGACCCCGGAAGCTACTTTATAATCAGATGAGTTATCCATCTGACAGAGACTGTGGTGGGGGGAGCCAGAGATATGCGCTACAGAAATACAACTTTGATCTCAGAACCACCTCGTCCAGAAGAGGGTATAACTTTGGGGAGAGGAGCCTGTGAACTGTATTCTTAGCCAGGCTGACTGGCTAAGTTTGGTCAAGGCCTCCATCTTACCTCCTGGTAGCGTGCAATGCCTCCATTGACAGCTGCATCAATGACACCATTCAGGCACATGCTGAGCAGATTGATGTTGCCATGCACTTGTTTGTGTTGATACTGGCTGATCAGAGCTCGCAGCTCTTGATTCTTATTCTCGACTACTTGGATGGCATTCTCCAGAGGACTCACCTCCACCTGTGGGCACACACACAGAGTCCTCTCAGGCATGAGAACTGCTCCTCATACCCTGAGAACAGAGCAATGATAACCTGTGATGCCAATCCTCCTTCCTGTGGACAGAAGACATCGAGGGTTAGTTCTGCAGTCATGGATTTCTGGCTTCTAGAATATCAGAATTTATTTACTTATTTTTTCATTTGTAAACCGAAAAATACCTGATATTTAGGAGTGTCCTGTGGTCTAGATGAGAAGCTATCAAAGCTTCTGGCATAGGATTGGCCTTAGGAAACTGAGGTCAGGTAGATGCTAAATTTGTTCTTTCTTTAGTCCTTAGAGAACGCTCCCTGGAGATGGGCTGAGGAGTAGCAAGAAAGTTTAAGCCTTCTGAGGCATAACTTACCAGTTCCCTCCTTTCCACTTCAAACCACCGAGAAATGCCAGGCAGGCTGTGGGTCAGTGTCAGTGTGGTGCGCTCAATCCACAGGCTCTGCAGGGAGGGCACAAACAAGGGCACAGAGTTAGCCCTGATGGGAGGGTGCAAAGGCGATCGTTCCTGAGAAGCAGGGCTTGCCCCAGATTTGCTATGTGCACTGCATCCACTTCCTTTACTGTTTACCTTGAATTCATTCTCTTTGTCCTTGGGGCCTTTGTGGAAAGGTCTGTCATACCGGAATTTCCTTACATTGTTGACACGGTAAAAGCTCTTGACACGATCAGGTACTCTATCCATGTGTAGAACATCCACATAATCTGGAATAGGTGTCACTGCATAGATCTGTAAATCTGGACATGAAGTGAAGGAGAAATCTAGACTTGGCAGAGAAAATGACTGAAGTGGCAGCCTCTTGTCCTCTCTGTGATGAAGTGCACGCTGCCTTTGTTCCTTCCTGGAAGTTGTGGTGGAGGCAGCAGGATCCATCAGACCTAAGCAGATAGACAGACCTCCCTCCCTACCCCTTCCCTCCTGCTACAACAGAGAATGTCATGAGCATTCAGCCAAGGTGAGGTAGCAAGTGTCCTGCACTGCCCCTTTAAGAGAGTGATTAAACAAGCAGGATGTGCAATATCCACACCACAGAAATAAGTATCTGGGTCTGCCCATAGTATCTAAATGGATTTTATATAAAACAGTCTTTTTGTTTCCTTTATTTTTGTTTTTTTTTCAGTTCTTTCCCTTTCTTTCTTTCATTTATTTATTTATTTATTCATTAATTTTTTTGTGGCATTAGGGCTTATGACCAAGGCTTTGGGATGGGAATGATAAGCTTATCCAATGGACTGTATCTCTAGTCCCTTTTGCATTCTGACCCCGGGTCTCACTAAACTACCCAGGTTAACGTTAAATTCACCCTGTAGTTTTGACATGTCTTAAACTTGGTATCTTACTGGGATTACGGGCATATGTCAACAGGCCCAGTCAAAACAACCTTTCAATTAAAATTCTGCCTGAGGTCTTTGTGAAGAGAACATGAATGGGTGTCTACTTGCCGTTTACTCTCTGGAACAAGTCTGCCTCATGATAACGAGCATATAACTTCCAACAAATCTGTGTAAAGTGGGCAGTGAGGGGCGGACCAGTGTTTGCACTGAAACTTCTTTTTTTTTTTTTGAATTTTTTTTATTTTATTGAGAATAAGAAAAAAAAAGTATCCGCCTCCTCCCAGCCTCCCATTTCCCTCCCCCCCCCCCCCCCCCCCCCCCCCCCCCCCCCCCCCCCCCCCCCCCCCCCCCCCCCCCCCCCCCCCCCCCCCCCTATCCAAAGAGCAGTCATGGTTCCCTGCCCTGTGGAAAGTCCAAGGTCCTCCCCCCTCCGTCCATGTCTAGGAAGGTGAACATCCAAACTGGCTAGGCTCCCATCAAGCCAGAACATGAAGTAGGATCAAAACCCCTTGCCATTGACCTTGGCTTCTCATCAGTCCTCATTGTTCGCCATGATCAGAGAGTCCGGTTTTATCCCATGCTGTTTCAGTCACAGTCCAGCTGGCTTTGGTGAGCTCCCAATAGATCAGCCCCACTGTCTCAGTGGGTGGGTGCACCCCCCGTGGTCCTGACATCCTTGCGCACTGAAACTTCTAAATGCCATCAAGTCATAGGCATTCTTTACTTCCCTCTCCTCCATGGCACTCTGCTACGGGCAACTTAACAAAGACAAGGGACAAAAACTGCACAGGAAAGTAGAGCAGGTTGCATCATAGGTGGTAAGCCCATGCCAAGAGCCCTGTTGGGACCATAATCGCCTTATTCAGTGATTGGCCCGGCCCTGTAGAGTTCAGGGTAGAGACTAAACTCATGAGGGTAACTAGCCTGACAATCAGTCCCTGAAGTTCAGCTTATAACTTATGAGGCCATCCATGGTTAATGGCATGCGACTGCTTCTTAGGAGGACTGAGTGTCTTGCTAAATGTGGGTTTAATGGTAAAGCTACACCTAGATTTGGGATGACAGGTAACCTAAATAAAAATAGAAGGCCAGCCACAAGGTAGAAGAATGGTTGGTGGTGGGACTTACATCTCAGGATCCCGGCCTTTCCCACTCTACCAAGTTTCAAAAGATACACTGAGCATCACACTGTAGGATGGCATCATCAGGATGGTTAGGGTGCTGCATAGCAACGGCCTGTGGGAACTCACTGAGCATCCTCTGCTGGAAGGCTTCCAGCCTCTCGTAGTCATGACCACGGCACACATATTCTTTGTTCTGCCAAAAACATGAAAGTACATTCTATGCCTTGCATGTGCCTGACTCCATTTCTACATAGCAGCAGTTTTCATGCATAAATATACCCTAGGAACCTCCTTTGTTCCTACGGACAGGTACAGGGTACAGTACTCAGTCCCTGTCTTAAGAGAAATTACAGTTGAGAGGAGATGGTTGTTCTGTGGTGTTGCAGTCCTAGGGAGAATGTAAAGGCAGGCATTCAGGAACTTGGGGGAAGGAGGGATACTCTACTTGGGAAAGGTAAAAATTTTTAAAAGCCCTGAAAGGCCCACTTGGTTGGTCTGCTATACAAGAGTGGGAACAAGCAAACTGCATATGGTAACAACCAAACTACGAGAAAGCATAGATTGAAATAATGTATGTTTGTAGAACTGGTGAGAAGGTAGCAAGTGTGTGTTAAAAAGTGAATGCCGTGAGTGCTGAAAATTTTAAATTGGGAGTGATCATGTGTAGCTAAACATTGTACTATTGATATCTATTACTTATTAAACTTGACAAATCCTTTTCGCAGCAAATTTCTTTGCAAACATGTCAGCAGAAAAAAATTGTATCATTCTCTCTATAAGTAGAACAAATGCCAATCTTTCTCTCATTCCTTACCTTTCTTAGTCTCAATATACAGTCCAGATTAGCCTTGAACTATAGGTGATCCTCCTGCCCCAGCCTCCTGAATTCTGGGGTTACAGACATGCACACATTTGGTTGGGTTAGGTCTTAGTTTTTCTCTTTATGGGCTAAAGTTTCCTTGTAAACAAGACACTCTTAACTCCTATTGCTCTATATACCTCACAGCTGGTCATGTATGAATAGCCAGAAGCCCCAATCAAATCTACTAGGAGGAGGGCTGGAAAGATGGTCCAAAGGTTTAAGAGCTCTTGCTGCACAACCACGAGGAACAGAGCTCAGATCCTAGTGATGGGGAACTTTTGCCAATCACATTTTATTTAGGGTGTGTCCCCCTGGGCCACAGAAAAGCAGATAAAACATCCAGGTGTGTTTGCCTCTTTTTCTTTTGTTTTCTGTGCTCCTGGATGGCTGGAACCCTGGGTTTGTAAGTTTTTTCTTCTGTTTATTAAAAGCTGAATCTATTATATTAAAAAAGGGGAATTAATTGGTGATGGAATATTGGTATTTGTGAGTTATTGTTTTTAGAAAATTATATTGGTATTGATTCTTGTATATTGATATAAAAGTTAAAGTATATTAAATATTGTATGTGAGTATGCTTCTACCTCTGTTTAAAACATTTGTTATGTATTAATATATATATACATTGTATTGATATATATACATCTATTTACCATATTACAGTGTACATTTCTACCTCTGATATTATTTATGTAATAATATACACTGTTTACATTTGAAGGTCATTGTCCTCATTTATTGCACAGTTGTTTATTCTCTTAGTCTTCAAGTTAGATAGGTATTGAAAATTACATTATTTATATGTTTGTCATATTTATATTTAGGCTAATAAGTTCTTTAGATACATAGAGAATATATATAATATAGATAGTATAATCTTCAACCTCTTTGAAGAGCTATAAAAAATGGCCTCTAACCTAGAGTTCCGTGCTAATGAGACACGATCACTCCTGGCAACACTGCTCTACTCCCGAGAGAACGTTGAGCACCAAAGACACCCCACTTGGAGCTTGTCTTCTTCTTGACAGAACTGGCCTTTGGGCAAAAAAAANCTGGATAAGCAGTATACACACACACACACACACACCCCACTTGGAGCTTGTCTTCTTCTTGACAGAACTGGCCTTGGGCAAAAAAAAAAAAAAAAAAACAAAAAAAACAAAAAAAAAAACCCATATCTCCACTACTGACAGAGATACAGAGTATCCATAAATGGGTAAAAACAGGATTGTCTTATCTTGCCAAGACAGGGTAAGATAGTTCTAAAAGGTTCCTTGCCTTTAAAAATGGTGTGTCAGTTATGTTAGGCCTTAGCCGATGTTGGGTGCCTCAACATTGCAAATGAGACTTTGGGTGATTGCCAGGTAGTCAGTTGTCTCGTCATTTGTTGCACATTTTGGATATCTCTCGTTTGTTAAGTATTATTAATTCCCTTCTCAGATCTTTGATGGAGTTAAAGATTAGATAATTGTAGTTACCCTTTACATTATTTAGACTCCTTGAAATAAAATGCTTAGTAAAACTTTTATTATGTTTCTTGCTTAATATTGTTTGTTGTTTGTAATTTTATATTTGGTATTTGCTCCTATTTTATATAGTTGTATTGGGTTTGGTTTGATCTTGTTTAGACAAAGGGGGAGATGATGGGGAACTTCAGCCAATCACATTCTGTTTAGGGTGTGTCCCCCTGGGGCCACAGGAAAACAGATAAAACATCCAGGTGCGCTTGCCTCTTCCTCTTTTGTTCCCTGCACTCCTAGACGGCTGGAACCCAGGGTTTGTAAGTTTCCTTTCTTCTGTTTATTAAAACCTGAATCTATTATATTAAACTGGTCTGGTTAATTCTAAATACCGATCGACCATGCCCCTTCATCCTAGCACTAATGTAACATTTGGGTGTCCCAAACATAGCTGTAACCGCAGCTCTGAGGTAAGCAGAGACAGGGTAACTACTGGGGTTTGTTGTCTTCCAGCCTAGTGGAAAACATGTAAGACCCAGGTTCAGGAGAGATCCTACCCCAAAGGAATAGGGAAAGAGGGATTGAGGAGGACACCTGAAATACCTTTTTGGCCTCTATGTGTGTGCACGCATACCAACACACTTACACAGATGCAGATACACAAATAAAAATTTAAAAACCTACGAGTCACACTGCCCACCTAGCTGGCTCACCAGGCCATTTCAGCAAGTCACATCTGACCTCAGGATCCCTTTTTGACATGTCTTTGTGAAAAGGGGAGAGTTTTAAGGGGAGGTAAAGAAGAAAAGAAAGAGAGACAGAAGAAGGGGCACAGCATCCTAAGGACAGCTATACACTTTGTGGGGCAGAGCTGATCACAGGTAAGGCTTTGGAGGACCTCAACCTATCTTATTCTTATCTCGAGTAAGACTGAGTTACATATGTGGGTGAATCAGAATGGAAAACTATTACCAGTAAAGACTCCAAAGACTGCAGAGCTCAAGTCCTTATATAAAGGTATAACTTCATATATAAAAGCAGAACATATTTTCCTGTATACTTCACATCATCTTTAGGGTACTTAAAATACCAGGATGTAAGTTTTTTTTTTTTTTTTTTTTTTTGGTTTTTTGAGACAGGGATTCTCTGTAGCTCTTGTAGACCAGGCTGGCCTCGAACTCACAGAGATCTGCCTGCCTCTGCCTCCCAAGTGCTGGGATTAAAGGCGTGTACTACCACCACCTGGCCTCAGGATATAAGTTCTATAAAACTGCTGTTTTACTGTATTATTTAGGGAATCACAACATGGAAAAACAAGTTTGTATACATTTGGTACAGGTGACATCCTCCCCCCCCCCCCCCAAGTATGTTCTGTCCTTGGTTGGTTGAATCTGCAGAAGTGGAACCCATGGATATAGAGACTACATCTTTAAAGCACTGGCTTTGTCAACATCCATTAACATACACATAATCCCCACAAGGACCTGTTCATAAATCAAGTGAAGAGAAACAGGAATTCTCCTAAGAAAGGAGGACTGGATGTTGTCCTTTCTCCTTGAAGATTAGTAGATAATCAAAATTGCGAGGTGGGGGAGGCAGACAACCCAGAGAAACCAAGCTAAGTGAGCTGAAGGGGTGGTGAGGAGTAGCTAAACCTTAGGGGAAGGACCAGGAAGAGGAAGGTGCTGACCTTGAGGCTAGCTGTTGGTTTCTGTCACTTGTACACAAATGCAAGCATCCCAACAAAAAGATCTAGCTGCCACTACTTTGCACTGTGTCATCTATTTCCACTTGTCACTGAACTGAGCAGTTTAAGGAAGGGAAGATAAGAGGTTAAGCCAGGGAAATTTGTATGCTTCAACCAGCTAACAGGTACTACTCTCTATAAGCAGGAGGAATGGGCTGACAAGTGTTACTTCCTAACATTCTTTGTTTTTCTCCCATTACTGCAGACCTTTGCAGCCACAGTGAAGAGCCAGACTCTTCACTGTGCGCCAGTAAGAGTCCAAACAAGCTAAGAATCTGAGACATTGTATGTTCTGTGACATGTACATGAGGAGGTGAAAGTGAGCCTAAACCTGATAGGGTATTCTTGCTTGGGAGACAGAAACATGAGACAACAGATATTGTTTATTGCCTGCCTCTGCTTCCCGAGTGCTAGGACTAAAGATGTGTGCCACCACTGCCCGGCTCCTTTCACCTCTTTTATTGACCTGTAGTTCAACTATTATTTTTTTCTGTTTTTGG